GGGTCGACCTTTCATTCTGTTAGACCACCAAAGCGGTCGACCGTATTATGTAAGAGGTCGACCGCGTCTTGGAATCCCACAAACATGAATTAGTCGATTCGGTCGACCGCCTTCAGCAATAGGTCGACCGAAAAGTCCATGTCACGGTGACATGCATGTCACCGTAGCAAAATCCTAATATTAGATGTATCAAAGAGCATGGAAAAATCTTAGATAGGAGAAGCTTATAAATTTTAAAATTAGAGTTAAGTTTGATATTTGTAATTGCTTTACGTCTTTTATCCTTTTTTTTATCCTTTTTACTGTTACTAACTTTTGCCTTATTCCGGTCAACGTTTAAAAAGTCATTGAAGATGATTTAATTAATTTAGCATGGTTGCCTTAGTGGTACAAACAGACTAATTGACGAAATTGAATTATTTTTCTTGTTCACAAAGTTGAAAATGGAAAAAATATTGAAGCAACAAATAATAATCTAATAATGAGACGTCAACAATATCTCCTCTCTTACTCTCTCTAGAAAATATATGACAAATAATGAACTATGTTGTGTGGTTTGAAAAAATTCTAATAAGAAAATGAGTCCTCCTCTCATGAGATCTATTTGTTTCTTTAGCATTTTTGTTTAAGTTTTTTAATATTATTATTTTTGACCCATAATCAAAATTCAATGCATTAATTCTCTATTATTCTGAATTCACAATCAAAATCAATATTCTACAATAATAATTATACATATACATGATACATGTCAGAGCAGAGTAGTGACAGATCCAAGGATTTTAGATAGGTGTGTCCTTTTTAAAAAATTAAATTAAATATAAAATATGTACTTAAAAGAAGAAAATATCCGACTTGTACAAATTATAATAAATCTCTCTCGATATATTTGACTAGACAAGGGGAGTCCGTAATTTGGTTTAAACGTTACCTTTTGAAAATAGCAAATGAGTTTGTAGTCAAATGAAAAATATATTTACTAATAACAGCAATACCCAAGTTCAAATCACATAGGATACCACTTAAATGTTTTTATTTGCTCATATGCAAACTACTACCGGAGTTAAATAATCGTTTTCCAAATTTTAGAGGTGTCATGCTACCGCCAAAAATATTTTTTTTTTCACCCGTACGCAAACTACTATCAAAAATTGAATAATCGCGTCCCAAATTTTAGAGATGTCCCAGAACAATCCAAATCCCATGAATCCGCCACTGGATCCGAGGCCCTGTGTGAGAGTGCCCCCTGGCACACCCTGGCCCCGTGGACAGTTGAAAAGCATGGGGCAGAGACCGGGGTTGCAAAATTGAGATCACAGTCTGTAATTCTTCTTCTAACCCACTAACATAGAGAGAATAAATATTCTTCCGTCATAATAGGATTATAACGAATCATTTTGGGACTTGAACTCCTCGAATTTCTCATGATAATCAACCAAGGAACCTCGGATGTGTTTTCCAGATACAAGCACGGTCCTCACATATATGATGGACACGGTCTTCACAATCATGCCCAGTACCGGCCCTCTTCCCAACTTTCCTAACAAACTGCTCGTCCTTAATCCCACTACCCGTCACTCCAATCCTACGCTGCTCAGCCATTATCCTTCTTCTATTCATTTCCCATTCTACTTTACTGGTGAAGATTTCTACTATGGGTAAGTTTACAATTCATTGTTTGCTTGAGCCTTGTGTCCATGGTTAATTGCCCGCTCTGCTGCCTGCTTGTGCTCACATTTTTCAAATTGTACGGTAGTTTGTGCTGCTGTTAATTGTAGTTGGACCAGCAGTTAGATGCAACATGGTTTCTTATTAGATGGTTGACATAGGTTTGGTATATTAGTGGATAGTTTCATGGTTTCTTATTAGATGGTTGACATAGGTTTGGTTTATTACTGGATGGTTTCAAGGTGGTACATTTCATTCTTTGTAGGTTGATCTTTAAAGGTGATGATTGTGGTTGTCGCAGAGAAGTGATGCACATTCCTTTTTTTGTTAGTGATGCACATTCATGTAAAAAAATAAACTACTTCTGAGGTTGTTAGCTAGGTGTCGGAAGTGATGATTGATGGCTGTTCCCGAGCAAGTTCACTACAAGGGTTCAAACATTCGTTTTTTGTTAGTGATACATCAATATTTGAATCATCAGCAACTTCAAAGGTTATTGTTAAAAAAAACGAACTTCCGAGGTTGGTAGGATTCAAATATTGATGTATCACTAACAAAAAACGAATGTTTGAATCCTTGTGGTGAACTTGCTCGGGAACAGCCATCAATCATCACTTCCGACACCTAGCTAACAACCTCAGAAGTAGTTTATTTTTTTACATGAATGTGCATCACTAACAAAAAAAGGAATGTGCATCACTTCTCTGCAGCAGCCACAATCATCACCTTTAAACTTTAAAGATCAACCTGCAAAGAATGAAATGTACCACCTTGAAACCATCCAGTAATAAACCAAACCTATGTCAACCATCTAATAAGAAACCATGAAACCATCCACTAATATACCAAACCTATGTCAACCATCTAATAAGAAACCATGTTGCATCTAAGTGCTGGTCCAACTACAATTAACAGCAGTACAAACTACGGTACAATTTGAAAAATGTGAGCACAAGCAGGCAGCAGAGCGGGCAATTAACCATGGTCCATGGACACAAGGCTCAAGCAAACAATGAATTGTAAACTTACCCATAGTAGAAATCTTCACCAGTAAAGTAGAATGAGGAATGAACGGAAGAAGGATAATGGCTGAGTAGCGTAGGATTGGAGTGACGGGTAGTGGGATTAATGACGAGCAGTTTGTTAGGAAAGTTGGGAAGAGGGCCGGTACTGGGCATGATTGTGAAGACCGTGTCCATCATATATGTGAGGACCGTGGTTGTATCTGGAAAACACATCCGAGGATACTCTGGAAACAAAAGGCAGAGAGAACTCTGTTTTCACTTAGATAGATTTCTCAGCTGGGCGGCAGAGAGCAGATGGATGGTTACAGTGGCCAGAATTAGCTAGCAGAAGTTGATCGAGAAGTGCAGATTTTTTGTTTGAGAATCTGTAAAAAGGAGAGCTAGAGGAATTTCTGGATGCGGCAATAATTGTTCTTCTTGTTTGAGGAAGAAACGAAGAACGGAGAGGGGAGAGGGGAGAGGAGAGAGGAAAAGAGGAAGATAATAATTGAATCACAAGTGTGGACTGGACTGGACTGGAGATTTCATTGTAAAAAAAAATCGAAAAAAGACTGGAGATTGTCGTTATTTGTTCACCGAACGTAATAAATTAAAGGCCAAATACATTTGTGTAGCCAAAACTTTGACGATTTTGCCAAATATAGCCACTTTTGGCGAAATACCAGAAATAGCCACTTCCGTCTAATTATTTGACGGTGTTAGTTAACGTGCTGACTGGACTAACGGATTGTCCGACGTGGCGTTTTCCGACCCATAAGTATTTTCCACGTGGATTTAAAAAAAAATATTAAAAGGTTAGGAAAAAATAAAATGCTTTGTATTTCCCACGTACATAAACTTAACAAACAAAAACAACAAAAAAATCCCTAAAAAAAATTCCATCGCCAACACAGCTTTGCAAACCCTTCCCAACCTGTTCATCTTCTTCCACAGCGTCCCTCGCCCTCAACCCCACCCCACCCCCAATCCATCGCCGCCTCCCTCGCCCTCAACCTCTCCACCTTCTTGCAAACTTCTCTCTACTCCAATCCCTCTCCTCTCTCTCTCTCTCTCTTCATTCCCCTTGCATGCGTTAACCCAGCCGTCACTCCTATTCCAAAAATCCTCCCGAATCTGCTTCTGATATCAGTCAAACCGGTAGCAACTACGTAGAAGCCGCGCGAGCCTCCTCTATTTCCGCCGCTCCAGCAGCCCTTCTTCCGAATCCTGAGGTTAATCAATCATCTCTCATCTGCTCCTGCCCCTCCGCGAAATCCCTCAGATCTCGCATGATTTCGAGCTTATTCGCCGGATCCATGGCGAGGGTCTCGGTTTCACTGGCGGATGCGGGAGAAGAAGTCGCCATCTTCCTTGTTTCAATATCCATCGCCGACAACAGAGGTAGAGAGAAGGATGAGGCAGATGGGTGTGGGTAAAAGCGAAATCCCTAATATCCAATTGATAGCTTCGTCCAATTCTCTATACCCAATTGAGGGTGTGATTTTCTGTTTCGTTTTTGACATAAGCAGCAGCTGTTGTTGTTTGTTCCTCCTTCGGATGTAATGCTTAGTTAGTTATATAGGAAAACAGATCCTGCCTCAACAAAAGAGAGTGAAGGTAAGGGATTGTGTGTGAATTGGCTTCTCCATCGCATATAGGAAAACAGGCTTGTTCATCGCATCTCCTCCTGCAATTTCCTGGTAAATTGTCTGTGTGTGTGTGTTTTTTTTTTGGGCATAGCTGGTGAGGTTATCGTCGCTGGTTGGTAGCAAGAGAGATTGGCAGTAATGACGGACGGGAGCAACGACGACGATTTGGGGTAGTGGTAGTGATTGGGGGTGGGGTCGATGGAGATGAAGGGAAGAATTTATTTTTGTATTTGTACGATTTTTTCTTTATTTTTAAATTAAAATATGACATGGCATCCATGTGATAAGTGTTGTTGAGTTGTCGATGATGTGTCCGTTGAGTTGGCAGCCAAGCAAGCATTCTGTTAGTTTGACTAACGGTGTCATTGACGCTGTCAAATTATGTAACGGAAATGACTATATTTGTCATCGAACTTTCAAAATTCTGGCTATTTTTGGTATTTCTCCAAAACTGGCTATATTTGTCACAACCGTCAAAGTTTTGGCTATGCGAGTGAATTTGGCCTAAGTTAAAAAGCAATGAATCACAACTTCACAAGCTAAAAGGCCCATACCTGACCCAACATCAGAGCGCCCCGTGCTGCCGAAGCCCAAAATAGCGGCCCAATAAAGTCAAAACCCTAGAAGGGATTTGAGTGGCGTATATATATTCTCCGCAAATGTTCGCTCATAACCTCTCGGTTTGTAGCTGCTGTAGAAGAGAGGAAGGAGAGGACAATCATGGTGTCGCTGAAGCTCCAGAAGAGGCTCGCCTCAAGTGTCCTCGGCTGCGGCAAAGGAAAGGTCTGGCTTGATCCAAATGAAGGCAACGAGATCTCCATGGCTAACTCCCGTACGTTCTCGCCCTCCGTTTTGTTGTCATTTCGATCTGCTTTCGTTGTACAGTTTTGAGTACAGAGATAATGGATTAGCCATGAAGTCTCTGTAGTTTTTTCTTGATCAGTTTCTAGGTTTTTGTATGATTAGGGTATTGTGTGCAAAGATAGAGAATTAGTGATAGCTAGCTTGAAGGTCAAACTGACTAGGTGGAGCTCTGATTTTGGAGAGGTCGAGAGTAGTCCAGTTTCACCACTTCAATCTGCGCCAGTATTGTACAATTGGGGATCATTACCTTAGCCGTGTAGAATCAGCTATAGTAAGCTCTGGCTAGTGTGATAATACTGACAATATATAACTAAAAACGTTGGAACATATTTGTTATTATTCAAATTCTGGGTTTTGGAAGCAGTATGATATGACTTTCTTGAAGACCTGTGGTTGATGTTTTTCTGAAGAGTGGGAATTACTTCATGTTGGTTGTGATACCCATTAGGGATTTCCTAGAGTGATCATTGAATTCGGCTTGTGGATAATCTGTGTCTGGTTTTTGTTATATGCAGGCCAGAACATCAGGAAGCTTGTCAAGGATGGTTTCATCATCAGGAAGCCAACCAAGATTCACTCCCGCTCACGCGCACGTCGTATGAAGGAGGCCAAGAGAAAGGGACGTCATTCTGGATATGGTATGGTTTTCCTCTTGGTATTTCTCTGAAAGATGTTCTTGTTGAAAAAAAACTTGAAGTACCGATAAAAATATGTGCAAATCTCCGTTTTTCTAATTGGATTGTTGTTTGAAATGATTCAAGGTAAGCGCAAGGGTACCAGGGAGGCTAGGCTTCCAACCAAGATCCTTTGGATGCGAAGAATGCGTGTTCTGAGGCGCCTCCTCCGTAAATACAGGGAGGCTAAGAAGATTGACAAACACATGTACCATGACATGTACATGAAGGTTAAGGGTAATGTCTTCAAGAACAAGAGAGTGCTCATGGAGAGCATCCACAAGTCCAAGGCAGAGAAGGCAAGAGAGAAGACATTGTCCGATCAGTTTGAGGCCAAGAGGGCAAAGAACAAGGCAAGCAGGGAGAGGAAGTTTGCCAGGAGGGAGGAACGCTTGGCCCAGGTCAGACATTTGCGTCAGGATATTTTTTGTTGGAATCTTATGAATGCCTTTCATACTGCAATCGTTTTGGTAGCTAAGCTAAAAGTTTCAACCCCTGGATCTGATACGATTGTAATGTTTTAAACTGTACAGGGACCGATGGCTATGGAGAAACCTGCTCCTGCACCAGCTGCTGCTGCACCTAAAGCAACTGAGTGAGCATCCGTTTATCAATTGATGTCCTTTGAATGTTATTTTGAGTGTGGTTCGACCGTCTGAGTGATGTCCTTTGTTTGTTTCTCCTGTGCTTGCAGGGTTCCAAGCAAGAAATCCAAGAAGTGAGATTGCTGGACAAGTGGATGAAGGTTTTGGGAGTTTTGTTTCGTTGTGGCTATTTTATTTTCTGTAGCAGCAGTTTAGCTCTTACGTTTTGGTTGCTCAAGGCACGGATGTTTATTTTCTTGGATTATGTTTGTATGGATAATTTTACTTGCTGCCCTTCTAGACTGGTTAAATATATTTGCAGATTTTACAGAATATGTAAAATGTTGTGGTTTTTGCATTTTGTCTTCTTTCCTGCTTTACTTGAGTTATAGATTACTCTTGATTCAGCAATGGTATGCTGGTTCTACTAAAATTGATTCACAAGGATCAATAGAGGCATTCTAGACTACAAATGTGCACAACCCAGAAGCGGCTTTTGAGCAACTATTTATTCAAAGCATATCTATTATAATTCTATGCAACTATGAGAACAGTTTGGTAAATGATTAAATGCTAGTCAACTATGAACTGATGTGAAATGTGCAATAAGTTGTAGGCAGATTGAGGCTGAGATTTGACACGAACTGCTCGATTAGCAGCAAGGTTGTGAAAACGGTTTATACCGTTGTGCCGGTTTAGCAAGTGGAATGGTTCTACCGGTGGTACAATTTGTTTGTGCCGGTTCATGCCGGTTAATAAAATATGTAGAAATGTCAAAAATCACTAATGTCAAATGAATTTAATCATATATAAACCAAACCATATTTGAAGACAATTTATGTATAATTCATATTGATATTTAAATAAAATGTGATATTTTCAATAAAATTACATGTACTTGTATTTAAATTCACTAAAACGACATCATTTTACTTAGAAATTCGCAGATCGATCCTGCCGGTCATACCGGTGGTGTCATGCCAAGTCTCAGAGATTTAATCTGGTGGTCATTCAGATGTATGTGCGGGTGGTAGGGGTGTGGAAGTCCGTATTGGAGCAAATTGATTTTTGAACCAGACTCTATCGAAACCGAATCAGATTGAATGTACTATTAGTTAGATCTTCAATTTTGAGATGTTTTACGATATTGAGCTGTGGTTCTCATAAAATTAATCCGGTCTAAACCGCTGCACATCGCCGGGTGTGTGTTGGTTGATGACATTAAGGTCGTTCATGACACCAAGGTCATTTCAGATAAGGAACAGGAATCGATTATTTTGCGCATTTTGGACTGGATTTGACAATGTCTACTGCATTGTGCGCATTCATTTCTAACAGTTGAGCGAGTCGACAATACTACTTAATTACAAAAAATATACACCAAAAGCTAGTGACCGTTTAGGTCTTTAACCTGCACTTGGGGAACGCATCAGCATATATAGGCTATATAGACCTGGAGTATAAGCCATCAGGATCCTTGAGGGTCGAGAAGCACCTAAAATAAGGAATGAACTTCCAAACCATTACTCAATTCATGCCAAGCAATCCGAATAGCAGCGAGGTAGTTCGGTTCTTTCCATGTATTACAAAATTGCCTGGAGAACTGACAGTCGACACTACATATTTAGGTTGGTCATTCATACTCGAGCAGCAGATCTTTTAAGGCTCCACATTAACAAGCTCTACTGTTATAACAAGATGTGAAATCCACATTACAAAATACGCAACCAAAGATGCACAGAACAGTTTTGATAGCTCTACCAAACATCCAAATAAGTAGTAGCAGAGACCCTCAGCAACATCATCATCAAATGGCACCAAAATCCGCGGAGAGCCTGAAGTGACACTCTTCTACACTCTTGCCGATTTTCCAAAGCATCCTTGACAAACACGATCCTGCTTCATGTCAACATATTTTAACTGTCAAAAGCAATGCAGAAGCTGAAAATCGTTCACTTATTATTACTCACATTCATACTAAGCAACGAAACACAAAAAAACTGTGGGTTCTTGCCTCTTGGTAACACTATGCAAGTAATCCATAATGTCATGTTCACCAAGGAACAAAATGCATCCGAGGTAAGTCATAATACCCAAACATCAGGACCCAACAGCATCACTGTATGCCTACTCAAGCCAGGCAAAGATATCTACATTCTGGTAGTCCTTAAGCAGGTGCTACTGCTACAACAAGACCCCAACAGAGAACGATTACGCTAACTATACATATGCTACAGGTAAAAGAAAATTCTGGCGGACGCAAAAGGAATTAACAAGAATGCACAAAAAAAAAAAACAACCAAGTCGATCCCTGATTAAGAACTTATGTTGATTGCTTAAGTTCTGTTTCAACCATACATTCCTATACACTGTCTATTTTAATGCTCCCGATATGCGGGCAACAACTAGGTCTGCAGAAATCTATCATAGATGGGTATGAGAGCACATGTTAAGTAATCAAAATCAGTATAGTGAGGCAACCAATTGTACAGGGCGCAGCATGGATTCGATTTGATGTTCTTATGGTGTACTATGGGAGCACGTTACTAAGCCTAACACTCATGTGTAATATGATCAATTCATTCACAAAGACAGAACACCAACTGAAAATCAAAGAGCAGTATCATATGAGAAAGAAATATCCCAAATTGATAAGAACAATAACTTCAGACGAACTTACTCCTCATTGCTGTTGATTTTGTTGCTGCTGATTAGGTGGAGGCGGGGGCATGCCAGGTCGTGGGGGTCCAAACACACCACCAGGAGGAGGCGGCATGCCAGGGCGCGGCGGCGGTGGGGCTTGCATTCCAGGTCTTGGAGGAGGAGGAGGCCCTCTCATCATAGGCGGACCCTGTGGTGGAGGCATTCCCATCGGTCTCTGCGCAAACTGTGGAGGCATAGGGAACCCCTGCTGCGGTGGCCTGGGAGCAAACTGAGGCGGACCCTGCGGCGGAGGACCACGGCCCATCGGCGGCCCTTGTCCCGGGTACTGCATAGGTGGCATCTGCCCCGGTGGCCGGATAACCGGCGGGCCACCCGGTTGCGGAGCTGGGTAACTCATCGGCGGAGCAGACATGTTGGGGACGGGAGGACGCGAGATTTGCGGTTGCATCATTCCAGGAGCAGGGCCACCGACTCCGCGAACCGGTCCGGCGAGTCCAGGCTGGGCTTGGATGAGAGGAGCCGTCGGAATTCCTCGCCCCGCCGCGCGACCGATTCCGGGACCGGGAATCGCACTAGCAGCCACCGACTTAGCGCGCGACTCTTCTGGAGGAGGGGGGCCTTCGACGGTCATGGACACGACTTCCTCGCCTCGGAGCAGGACGAGACCGAGAGTGCGACGGTCCTCTCGCTCCTCATTGTTCTTCTTCCCCTTCGCCGGCGGGAGCTTGCGGAACTCCTCGCAGTCGCCGAGGACGAGGTTCATATGGCGGTCGAACGCCATGAACTTACCGACCAGCTGCCGGCCGTCCTGAATCGTAACCCGCATCCGGTAGTTGATGTACTGGAGCATCTTCGAGCTCTTCGACATTGACATCTTGGCGATCTAGGGTTTCCCTCCGCCACGATTGAGCTCACCAGAGTGTAGTATTTCGGCGAGAATCAGCGAGATCTGCAAACAAAAATTAGCGGGATTTAGGGTTTAGATGAAGGAGCGGAAGAAGGGAACGAGGAGGACTGATCTACTGCGGTCATTTCCATAAGTCTTCAAATCCTAACCGTCCAATATAAAACAACAATTGTTTGTTCATTGTGTTATTTATTTTGGGCCTTCTGAACCAGGCTCATGTACGGCACTGGCCTTGTATCTCACTACTTAGGCCCATGGGCTGTGTGTGTCTAAATGTAGATGATAACATAAGATATTGAAGGTTGTGACTGGATTCACATTAAAGTTAAGGTAGTAAAGTGTAATAACTTCTTTGCATATATGTTTTCTAGTCGGGTCGACTGGTCGAGCACCATTTTTACTAAAATGTAATTGAGTAAATAAAATAACTCAAAATGGAAAGAGCACGTAAATAATTTCAAATTGCTCAAAAAAAACCTCCTCAACAAATCATAAATGAGTATCAGTCTCAAGTCTACTAAATAAAGTAGATAAGTTAAGGAATTCACTTAAAATCTTCTACAATCACTAATTACTAACCCTAATTACTAACCCTTGCCAAGATTACATCATGCACCTCACCTTCACGATAAAAGCTCCTAATTAATTACCTCAATCCATTCTTTTCACTCTCCCTGCCGACCTTGTAACCCAAATGCACTAGCTAGCTAACCCACCAATTATTCTCAACACTAACCCAAAATTTAATCACACAATTGCCGCCAACAGTGTTCAATTGTAATTAGTAGTAATTAACCATGGATATTTGCTGTCGACTGCAACTTACCCTACCCAATGTTATGAGCTATGGCCAGACAACTAACGTGCAGGTTCCTTGTAATCCACAAATACCCAAGATCTACGGAAGGGCACTTAACTAACGTACTCGTGGCTTCTTGTTGTCGCTCGACTTCGCGATCGGTGGCGATGCAATATTCGACGCTAGCTCCGCCTTGTCACAGCTGGCTCCTCTAGGCGATACGAGGATGGGACCTATTAGTGTTGTGGTATATGATCCACGACTGGAACATCTCCCAACAACTCGAGTTATTGGGACCAATTGGTTCTTGACATGGTATCAGAGCCTTCTGTGACCGAGAGGTCTTGTGTTCGATTCCCGGTGACCCCCATTTGTTAAGCACATGGTATTCTTGTCTTCAGACCTGTGCAAACTTCAAGCCCTTGTGAGTGGCTTTCGTTTGAGGGGGCGTGTTAGTGTTGTGGTATATGATCAACGATTGAACCTCTCCCAACAACTCGAGTTATTGGGACCAACTGGTTCTTGACAGGACCGATGGTGATTCGATCGATGGATGACTGGTGATTTGGGTGATTCGGCCAGAGCTTGTGGTGATTTGGATGACTGGTGTCTCCCTCTCAAATCCTTATGTGGCTTCCCTAATCCACCCGGTGACAAGAACCTGGAATTTCGACCACCTTCGAAGCCTCTTCCATTCGGACAGCATCAAGTGGATCCTCTCCATTTCGTTGTGTCGTCTTCTCCTCTGCCAGACAAACTTATTTGGCACTACTCTTCCAACGGGGTCTACAACGTCAAGTCAGGGTATCAGGTGTTGTTGGAGGATCGCGCGGCTTCCTTTGATCCACTCCCTCACCATTTGGATTCGAAATTCTGGAAGTGTTTGTGGAATCTCCCCATACCTCCAAAATTGAAAATTTTCTTGTGGAGACTTGTGCGCGGTTTTCTCCCGCTGTGTACAGTGTTAAAACAGAAGACATTGTGTGATGTTGATACCTGCCCAATCTGTTCGGTGGAAGCTGAAACTTTCTCACACTGCTTCTTTAATTGCAGGATTGCGCGTGGACTTTGGGAACTTGCAGGGCAGGAGACGATTCGTCAGGATGTGTGTGTGCTAACTCCGGATGTTGCATGGCATCGTATTTTCTTTTCCTTGCAGCTTTCAAAAGTGCAGATTGCTGAGATTGTATTCCTCTCCTGGCGAGTTTGGAAAGCCAGGTGCTGGTCTGTCCATGACCGCGTCCAGTATTTGCCGCCTGCCTTGGTCCGCCAGTTCCGTAGTCATCTCAGTGAGTGGCAAGACGTCTCTAATGGAAGACAACCCAGCCAGCCTATGACCCGGCAGCGTGGTGAGCAGCCTCCTACGATATCTTGCCCACCTGGGGGTATTTTGATTCGGTTTGATGGGGCCTTTCGCAAGTATGTTGGTGGCAGCTCAGGCTTCGTGGGATTCGCGGAGGACTCATCCCTCGTATGTGCGTATGGTAAGTTCTATGCAGGTTTGAATGATCCTTTTCTCTCTGAGCTACTTGCCCTCCGTGATTCGATGCTATGGTGTCTTCAGCATGGGTTTTATAACGTGTGTTTTTGTGGTGATTCCCAATTGGTTATACGTCGAGTGGCGAAGAATGCAGTGCAGCATGAGACTGGAGGAGCAATCCTGGAGGAAGTTTGTCTGCTCAGATCCAGCTTCCAGTTCAGCCGGTTTGCTTTTGCTTCCCGTAGGACTAACAGGGCTGCCCATTTAGTGGCAAAAACGGCCCTTGCATTGGTAGCTCGGCATTCGGTCGACTACCGCTATTTACTTTTCAATTCTCTGTAATCAACTGTCTAGCTACTTTCTATCTATGGAAAAAAAAACGGTGAGGTTCCATTAGGATTAGGTTAAATATATTAATTACGGTAGGTAATTAATTAAGGGTAATTTAGACATTCTAAAAAAAACTAGGTGCCGGGTGTGACAGAAAACCACCCGCAAACTGGTAAAGAGTTCACCACATTTGTTTGCTTAAGAAAAAGGTTCAGATCTAAGGAGAAAGGAAAGCAATGGCGACGGCACCCGATCACCTCTTCACTCTACGCAACAATTTCTACTTGGGAGCCTTCCAGTCTGCCATCAACAGCAGCGACCTCCCGAATCTCTCCCCAGAAGATGCCGTCGAGAGGGACTGCCTTGTCCACCGATCTTACATCGCTCTTGGAAGCTATCAGGTTCGTTTTCTTCTCTGTTCTTCTCTTCCGGAGAGATTTTCCTCCAATCGATTCATAATGTTTGGTGTGGAAAATTGCAGCTTGTGATCAGTGAGATCGACGAGAACGCAGCCACTCCTCTCCAGGCCGTCAAATTGCTTGCCTTGTATCTTTCCAGCCCTGAAAACAAGGTTGGCCACTTTGCTGTATAACGATTCTTCCCTTGTATCCAAGATTATTGCCTGTTTGGTGGCTTTTGGCCCGAGATCTATGTTTGATCTCTTCTTCTTCCCTTTCCTGCATTGAACGAACTACTGGAAGCTGCTTATGCTCTGATTGATAGTTGTCTTGAATTTTGATTCGGACTTTGATCAAACAGGAGTTCTCTGAATTTGTCATGCGATGCTGGTGATCTGAGTTTCTTATGTGTACTCTGGTATAATTTGTCTATCTGGGTGTTGGTTAGATATTTATCTAACTTCAAATCATTGTGAAATCTGTAGCTGTGATTACACTAGAAGAGTTATATTGAGGTGATGATGGGATAGATATTGCAACACCTTCTGTCCATGTCAGTCAATCAGTACACAAGTTGCATATGTAGAGTAGTAGAAAGGGATCATAATGTGATTTGTATGGTAGCTTGTTTTATTACTGGTGGAATCATGAGTTTTGGGTTATCAGTTTTAGATCTCGGATGGATGTAGTTAACTAATGCCCCTCCCTAACTGGTTTATTGCACAGCAATCTGTAATTTCAAGCTTGAAAGAGTGGTTGGCTGATTCGGCTATTGGAAACAATGTCATTCTAAGGCTGATTGCTGGAATCGTATTCATGAATGAAGAGGACTATAATGAGGCTTTGAAGCACACCCATGCTGGAGGGACCATGGAACTGTGAGTCATACTGGAGCTGCATAATTTATCTAATTTAGTCTCTTATTTTATGGTTTTATACCTATCTGTAGAATATCTAGATGGTTTTGATCCAGCATGGTTATCTGACTTGACGGTAGATTAGGCAGATTTGAATTGTGGTTGATTTAGACTGCATCCAGTATTCCAGTTGGAGAAGTAATATGAATTGTTATGTGCATGCATCTATTAGAGGGAGATAAGACATCATACCTTAGGCTTTAGTTCCTGATGCATGGCGTGGTAACTTTTCAGGCATGCATTGAATGTTCAAATATTCATTAAGATGCACAGGACAGATTTTGCTGAGAGGCAGCTAAGAGTCATGCAACAGATTGATGAAGACCATTCCCTTACTCAGCTTGCAAATGCATGGCTGAATCTGGCAGTTGTGAGTTCTGTTTTGTATTGTTTGTTGGCTAATTACTCGGGTTTCAGTAAAATCATCACGTTTTATTATTGGAGGGATAGTATGTATGATACTGTCTCTACATTCCACCAGGGTGGTTCGAAGATACAAGAAGCACTACTCATATTTCAAGACTTCTCTGAGAAATATCCCATGACGGGTCTGATATTGAATGGGAAGGCTGTTTGTTGCATGCACATGGGCAACTTTGAAGAAGCAGAGACGTTGCTTCTTGAAGCACTAAACAAGGCAAGTTCATTTTATGTCTCTTATGCCAAAATGATTATGCTATTCTACCTTAATTTTGACTAGCAGACTCGGACCCCTTCATTTAGAATTTTGTGCATTTTGGTGAATGGCACAGGATGCTAAGGACCCCGAAACCTTAGCAAACTTGGTTGTGTGCAGTCTCCATCTTGGCAAACCATCTTCACGTTATCTCAAGTAAGCAGCTCTTTGATCACTTTACAGGATTAGGATTTTAACCTAATAATAAGGAAATGGTTGATTGACAATCAATCAATCATTCTATCATGCAATATAACCTGTTTGGAAATCCATATTTTGGATGCCTAACTAATTTCCGCCTGATGAGGCAAGTTGGAGTGTCAAATTTGTAGCTGTTTTTTCACCTGTGTTTAGAGCTAAATACAAGTCAATGACTTCAGATGCAATGTTTGTGTTGCAGCCAGTTGAAGATCGCACATCCGGAGCATATGATCATTAAGCGTGTATCGACTGCAGAAGATAGCTTCGAAAGAGCAGTTCAATCAGTTGCATGATTTTTTAGTTGAAGAAGTGCCCCAAGAGCCAGTCTTCTGCATTTTGGATTGTTGGGGATGGGGTTCTAACAAAACACAGTTTGGAATGTGCTTTTTCAATCAACTTATATTTTTGTCATATACCGAATGCTCGTAGTCTCGATTATGTGTTTTTAACATTTTAAGGATCAGTTCACATTTCTGCACGAGTCTTTCAGTGCTTGGCTCAATAGCCAACTCTGTTCTTGTGGTCACGATGCTCTTAGAGTTTATTAATGTCCAATACGCAGCGAGTGAAATGTGTTCGAGTGTTCCTCCTTAGACAATGGCGGTGGAATTTTGGAGCAGTACTGGCAGTCAAGTTTCTGCCTCTTAGAAGGTGAGAGAACTGATGTGCTTCAGCTGCAGAAACACCAGTAAAAAATTCTTATGCATCTTTTCTATGTTTAAATGGTGAGTGAGTACTACTGCAAAAGAAACATGATGCCGGAACTCGTAACAACCTATAGATACGACGAGTCGCATGTCATCATTTGGAAAGCCTGTAATGAACCCATCAAGAACTGAACCACGAGAAAACTACTCTTCATGAAATTTTTATCTGAACACAGTCAGAAACATGTTCCAATCCACTGGTGTTTCTTCTGTAAGGAACTTATGAATCTGAGTGAAATCTGGAGGCGGAATGAACTGTAGAAGCCTATTATATTGGATGAGCCTGAGGCATCATCATCATCATCATTACATTACTCGACTATTACCTGTTCACATACAAGTAATGAATCGGCAACTCCTACATCTCCCTCCCTCTCTATATATATGGCATGACAACAAGTATCAAAAAATTATTTAGGAAAAAATAATAATAGTAATAGAAAAGCTTCTCCTTCCAATTGAGAGAGAACCCTCTCCTCTTCTCTAAAAGAAAGCAGAAGAATAAAACAGCATTGCAACCCAGGTTGGTGCTGTGGTATGTTGGAGGGGTTATCTCTCTGGGGTCAAATGTTGCTATCCGTTGCAGTGCCAGTGCTGCTCTACCAAGTGGGAAGGGTTTCAAGAAGCCATCACTGAAGGGGTCCCATACCCGTCACGGTGAGCCTTCTGCCATCTCCAGGCAACCTTCAAACTCTGTTGCAGGTCAGTGTAACGCGCTGTCCAGTTGAGTTCGTTCCTTATCTTACTCGGGTCACTGAACACCTCGGCGTAGTCACCAGGCCTGCGAGGCAAATAATCAACCTTGATGTCCACTCCAGTTGCTTTCTTACATGCTTCCACAAACTCTTTCACTGATCTACCTGGAATAGACAGAAAAGATCTAGTTTTGAGATATGCTGAAAAGAGAAGTTTTTGTTCCTTTTTCGGCACAATAGTACAACAAAACCCCTACCTTTCCCTGTGCCAACATTGTAGATTCCAACTTTACCAGGTACGGCCTTTTCCAGAGCCTTCACATGAGCATCCACAAGGTCAGTTACATCAATGTAATCCCGTATACATGTGCCATCATGTGTCTTGTAGTCTGTTCCTTTAACCTGTGAATGGAAGAAATATAGGGGAAAATGTTGAAGAAACATAAAAAACCAGCCCAACGAGACTAGTAGGCCTAGGGAATTAGTTACATCAGAAATCAGTTCATTAACTTACCTTCAACCCTGGCATGATTCCACGAGCTGCATCGAAACATGCACCAGAAATCCGTCCATGCTCACGCAGCTCAGGCGGTGGAGACTCCCCTAATCTGCCTTCTGGGTCCGACCCAATCACATTGAAGTATCTGAAATGCAACATCAGCTGGCCATCTTATTCAGAATGAAACACAAAATCCAAACAAGAACAATGAAGGAAGCAACATCGAGTTCATCACTTAAAATCGACCAGACTATGCAAGGAGTAACATTATATTCATCAGTCTACTTTGCGAGATTATTATTCACATTCGAACAAGAATTATTCGATCAACAATCAAATAGAAGATTTGAACAGTATTGTCTTACAAGGGAAAGTGGCAACATTATCAAAGAGTATCGAACTACGAAGTTACCGACTCTAAAACCTAATCATCTAAGCACCATTTAACCCATTAAACATCTGGATTATGATATTAATCAAATGTGCTGGACAGGGATGAGTGAAGGGAATAGAAATAAGGTCGACCAGACGACCAATACTGAAAGGGAAAACACAAACCTCAAAATCATAACTGCCATGTCTGATGTCTTGGAAAAATCAAGGATCATGTCTTCTGCCATCTTTTTGGCCTTTCCATATGGATTGATGGGGACCTAAGTTGATAAATCAGAACAAATAAAGGTTAAAGTGGTATACTAGTCATTTTCCCATGTCACTGGAACTCCCGTCTAGTATATAGCTCTGCATATATTACACTGCCTAGTTGATAAATCAAGACTTTGAGTGTACCTGTGTTGTTTCTTCAGTTATAGGCATCTTTTCAGGTTCCCCATAGGTTGCGCATGTGCTAGAGTATATCAGAGTCCTCACGTCATGCCTGGCCATCGACTCCAACACCACCAAGGTATTTGATGTAATATTATGGTAATACCTGCAGCGAAAATGTTAACAGGTTTTCTGTTCGGTATCATTGTTTGGCACCCATCATCCACATTAAGTTTCAAGCTTTGAGGATGACTTAAGTAAGTTAAACGGGTTGAGCCAGAAAAACGAAATTTTATCTTGCTCACTAGTGTCTGTCCATGCAGATTGTGCAAGTAGGGTGGAAATGATGTATACCAACAACCAGTCGTTCAACCATAGCTAGGTTCCTACTGTTTAATGATTAGACAGATTCAGTAGTATACAATGATGAAAGTCTGATCTAATATTTGAACAAAAACATTGGTCAGTCAGCAAATCTAGCTTCTCTTATTTAATAAGTTAATTTAAGTGCAGTAAAGGGTAAGCAAACCTCAATCTAATGCGCAGCTGCCGGTAATTCTTATCAGCGAAAGAAATACCAGAAGTTCCATATCCATGTAAAAAAGCAACTAGCTGAAAGAAAAATCAAACTTGACAGGCCAACTCCAGAAGGCAAAGGATACTTACTTTAGAGGATACATGGTACTTTCTCCAACGTATGCAACAGCTGCAAAATGCATCACTGCATCAAAAGCATTCTCTGCAAATATTTTGTTTACCTGTAAATTTCGGTGAAGGAAACAAGTAAACACATCAGATTTCCAGTGAGCAAAACCCAAGTCAGAAAACTGCAGAAGAAAGCCAGAAAGGATACCGCTTTGGCATCTCCCAAGTCGGCATATATAAATTGAAGCCTCCCAGGCTCTGGAAACAGTTCTTGTAGGATTTTAACAGCACCAATGTTCCCTCGAGAAAGATTGTCCTGCCAGAGAAGACCGACAGAAACTAAGATAACAGATTATGATAAATGTACGATAAAAAAGGAGATCAATACGCTAAAGACATGAACTTACAACTATGGTCACCCTGTAACCATCTTTCAGAAGACGTAATGTAGCATGTGAACCGATATAGCCAGCTCCACCGGTCACAAGAACATGAGTAACTCCTTCTTCACGCATGGAGAACTGGATCATAAACAACACAGGATTTAGAAAAAGCCTCACTTAAGATTTCAAATTAAGCAATTTACTACTACGACTGCCATCGCAAACAGCAATATCAGCAGAACAAAATGCATTTATATAATCAGACATTACCGGGGTTGCGTAATTGAATGAGGATTTCTTGAGCACAAGAATGCATACGGTCGTCATGATAGCAGCCAAAGCAACCTTTCCAACGAAGTTTCCCTTCCTTTTGGGATCTGGGTAGTCCATGCCTGCAAAACAATTTCAAGGTACGGGGACCAGAAACAGAAACACTTAACAACTGTTTCCACACAGCCCATAACTTTCTTCCAACCCCGCAACATTCCGACAGTACTAGTATGTAATGAATATTAAAACGACCAATGCATGTATGTTAGAGAAAGAGAACCAACCTCCTAAATTCACAGATCTACTGGGCCTAGACTGAGTTCTGGTCCTTCCAATACTTTGCATCTGGAGAAGACGCACACTCCTAACCTCTCAGCAGCAAAATCCAAATTACGCCTTTGTTCTGCCAATTTATCAGGCACAACTCAATCTCTGACGGACGCTATCCAGACAATATCTCTTGCCTCAAATCTGCAGCAGCAGCAAACGGAAGCCAAACGATAAACAACAAATTTATGTAAAACAAGAGAGGGAATAATTCAAAATGGGGAAGGGCAAATTCAAATTCAAAAGAGAGAGTTGGGCCCTCTAAATCATTGAACATAGAGACGGAAAAGCTGACTACCAAAAAAGCATCGAAATTTACTCCACTGAAGATGAAAGGAGAAACAGAAAACATCTCAAATTAGTGGAACTAAAAGGGAGCCGCTTCCAGATCCACAGAAGAGTCATCAAACCCAGAACGGGCGAAAGAAAGGAAAGGTCAACTGGAAAAATCCAAGCGCCAGCTTCAATTCTCAAACAAACAGAACGAAAAGCAAAATGAGGAAGAAAGAGAAACAATGGCATTGCAGCTCATTGGCAGGGCATGTCTGCCAAGGCTTAAAAAATGATACAACATTCTGATGAGCCGTACTTTCCCCGTTTGCCCATCATCAATACATTGATACAGAGTTTGCGGAAAACGAAATGCCCCACGCAAGCGGAAGCTGATGAAACTTACGGAATGTAGGATGGACGAGAAACGGATTGGAAGAGGCAGAGATCAGTTTCGGCGAGATCCAAAAAACAACCCAACAAATTTTAAATTGCATTGAAAACAAAAGTTCAAATCGCTATCAGCTCTCAGACGCACCAAATCAAACACCTGGCGGACAAAGCAATGAAATTTGCCTTCAGCCAGAGCTAGACCACCTCACCAAAATTGGAGCGTAACCCAACTTCTCAAAACTGGGAAAAGGACAAGGGTAGATGAAAAGGAAACAAAATTTCCCTCAACCCCATTTAAGAAGCTCACCGGAAGATCCACACATTCCAGGAGAAGCGAAATAAACCTAACAACGAATCGGGAAAGCGAAAAGATACAAACTAGGAAAGGAAAGAAAGAGTACCGCGGGGTCTGGCCACGCAGACTAACACAACCAGAATGAAACCGAAGAAGGGGAAGAATGCCAATGACAGAAAGAATCTAATGCAAATAAATAAATACCAACAGAAGCAGGTGATGGGGTGGAAATTGAGTAGAACCCACGAAGATCGAAAGCGTAAAGAAGAGAAAGGGAAGCAGAGGGCGCGAAGTTGAGGGCGGTGGCAAAGGGAGCAGAAAGAGAGAGAAGGGCGGAGCAGAATTTTGGTGAAGGGATGGTGGTGGTGGTGGGTGTGAACGTTGACGGGGGAAAGAAGAAGAAGAGAGTGGGAGCGAAGATAGGGAGAAGAAAGAAAAGGGAAGGAAAGGAAAGGAAGAGAGAAGGGGAGAAAACGTACCAGGACGTGTTAGCGGAGACCGGTTCCTGGTCCAGAGGTTACGTTTTGGAACGTGAACTGCTGATTGGGGGAAAACAAATATAACAGAAGCAAAAACAGAGGAAAGGAAGCCCGAAGAAATACGGAGAAGAGAAGAGAGGAAAAAGAAAGGAGAAAGGGGGAAAAGAGCGAGAGGAAGAGTTGTGCTATGCGAGAATGCCTCGGAGAAGTCCATGTTGTCGACCGTGATCGGCCAAAAAAAAATAAATTGTAAGCATGGACCAAAAAAAAAGTTATGCTTAGTAACATTCCAAACTTTTTTCATTGTTGGCTTTCGGCCTACATTTTCACAACTTTTGTCTTGAGATGCAACACAAGGATTTTTTAAGGTAAAAATTGTGAAGGTCTAGAGTCAAAACGGACAATATTTTATAGGAAAAAAAAGTTAGGAATGTTATAATGAATGAGAGACCAAAATTTTGGTCAATCCTTAAAAAATTGTGATCGGGATTTGTCAATGTGTAATTTGTTTATTGAGCACATTAGTGAGATCGCCCATCTTTGCACTGCTTCATAACATGCTCAATTTCATAGCAGAGTCGGTCCTTAAATTATAGATGCTCTATTCTTACAACGTTTCGAGGAAAAAAACCATTATTATTTAAAAAATTCAAGTAGTAAATAAAATGAATATTAATCAATTAACTTGAATCACCTCAATAGGTAATGAGAACTTTATTGAGTCGAAGAGAAGAATCAAAAGTGAGAAACAACTAATAGAAAACGAATATTAGATAGGAGAAAGTGATATTTTACTGTAAAATTAAGTATATTACGAACTATTTACAATTGATATACTTCTTTTTTGTTATTATTTTTGCTGGCTTGAACCTTGTTATAGTTAACGTTAATAATAACACACTTAAACAATCTCGCTTCTCTTATTCTGTCTAAATTACGTCAGACAAATGTACTCTCTTATATAATTTGAAAAAAGGTCTAATAAGAAATCAAATTTTCTTTCTCATGGCCTCAATTTGACACCTAATTGAATACCAACATATCAATTTTTAATGTTCAAATTTTTAATTAAAATTCGATATTTTATGAAAATACCTAGCATTATACCTATAATTTGGAGACCCATATGATCATCCCCTACTTCAAAAATTTTACAAGAACTCATATATTTAAATCTTGCCGGTTAAAATCATAAATTATAGGTGGCTCTCATACTTTGTCGAACTTGCCTAACATGTTAGGTTTATAGCCAAACAAACATACCGAGACTTTTGCGTTTGTATCTAATTAGTGCGTGGTGCGTAGTGATTAGGGGTGTTTAAATGGTTACCGTGGTAATAACCAAATCAATTAAACTTAAATTTCATTAACCATGGAATAAAGTATTTTAACCAACCCGTCCAAATTAACACGAAAACCAAATTAATCAAACCAAAGTTTAATTGGTTTGATTAATTGGATAATCGGATTAACCAAATAACATAACATTACATGAAAACAAACATAAACTATCATTTTATATAAGCAATAATAATAAGACTAACCATCCATGATATCATCATTATTCGAGTTAATACATCATTCATCATCGCTGCACCTAATATAGGTAGCTTACAACAAACCCCTTTACATAAGTACATACCAATATCCCTCATCAGGAAGTTAAACCTCTCCTACAAAAGTTAAACTATATATAGTTTGAGGTGACTGTCATGGTATTGTACGTAATCCTAAAGTCTAGTAGATGTTCAAAATGTTTTGGTTTTGATAAAAATAGGCGGGCCCATTTAATTTTTGACCCATAATGTTTTGGTTTTTTGTGCACATGGAAATAAAATAGGGATTCACGAAAGTTTGGTTTGGTTGGTTGCATGGAAGTATGAATAATTTTGTATATTAGGTGTATCATTAATTGGTTAATTGGTTTCATTGTTTAGCAGTGTTGAAACCAAACCAAACCACATAAACCAAATAAGCTAAATTATTTAACCAAACCAAATTAACTGAATGCTACTGGTTAATATGGTTACCACGGTAACCAATCCGTTTGAACACCCCTAGCAGTGATCCACCAATAAACACAAACAAATTAGTAGCTAGTACTAGTTCACCAAAAAAGCAAAAACAATTAAGCTGGCTGTACATAATAGGGCTGCGGGGCTTCCAAAGACGAGGCAAGCCAATGAAAAGCGAGAAAGGGGCCGCGCGCGCCCTTAACTCGGAGCGCAGAAAGCGGGGATTGGTTTCTGTACTGTCACGAATTACATGCTGCCACGTCGTTGGGAACATTTAGTATAGGAATAGGAGGAGGACCCTTTCCTCTGCATGGGTCTTCGTACCTTTGAATTTTACTGTGACACCTGTCCATCCAGTTCCCACACCCACAGCAACTTTTTATATTATCACTAGCATTGGCCCGGCCCGTTAGCCGGGTGCGTACATATTCTGTATGTGAATTTTGTTTTATTCTATTTAAAAAATAGATGGACGATTAAGTAGCATAATATATAGCTAATGATTCAATTTAATCAAATTTTTAGCTTATGAGATTCTATTTCGTGGAAAAAAACTAAAGTATAAGAGCACTATCACCTCATAAAAACATCCATTTTAGTAGTGTTTGCCTACATAGGTGGTTAACCGAACATAATGAGCTGACGAAACTGATGCAGTGGTAGCATAATGGAAAGTTCGTGTGGATACAAAATGTATTCGGGTGTTTGATGTAGAATATAACAACTAGGAATATGCTTTCAAGCGATCCAGTAGTGCTAACCAAAATGCCTTGAAGAATACGTTTAGGAAATTGGAAGTGCTAGAAGGATTTAGAGACTTTGTCCTCTTTATGGTTTATCTTACCTCAAACTTAGAAGACTAATGCCAGTGATGGAGTTGATGTGTATGGAAGTAAACAGGTTCCTTATCCCAAGTCTCTACCGCAAACTTGCTCTTGTCAGTCTTGTGGGAAAGTCCACTCAATGTCAAAGAATTTGCCTCGTGCAAATTGGATTTGGAAGGGAGGTGTAGACTCAATCCAGGGACATTGAATGGTTCAATAGAAGCGAACTGGCCATGATGGAATGCAAGCATCTTGTGGTTAAAATAATGAGTTAGTTTGCAGGATAGTGGATTGCAGGGATGCACCTTGAGATATTTGATCTAGGGTAAGTTGTTTTGACTATACCCTGCAAATTTGCTGATTAGTTTAGACAACTCATAATACAGCAGTTTGCTACTTGCATTGGTGTGGTTATGAGCACAGTTAGAGTAACGTGTGTGACAGGCAGCTAATGATGGTAGCCAAGAGAAGGATTGGATAAGCGAATAAAATGATTAAAAAGATTCATGTAGATGATTAAATTATACCAAAATCCAATTTTCCAAATTGTTAAGCAAATGAACCAAAGCATAGAAGGGCAAGAAAGACAGCAAATAACACCAATCAAATTATCTAAAAACTGCAGCAAACCTTGCCAACGACTTTTCTTTCACAACACCAACAATCAGATTATTTGAAAAAGGCAGCAAACCTTGTCAGTAGCTACAATCGGACTTGTTCTAGACATGAGGTTGATTTGGCA